ATCCCTCTGCACTTGACATGAAAGGCGTAGTATTCGTTCGCATCATTCTAGAACAGACAAGCTACTATCCAAGCACAGCAGCCCTTATGAAGGTTGGCACGGGGAAAATATCATCGAATGACAGGGAGATCCAAGGAAAGGAACGAAGAAGTAGCATTTGTAGCCGATAGAGACCACGGGCAAACGAGAGGTAAACTTAGCAGAGCCCGTGGTAGATACAATGCTGGCAGTCAAAACCATATCAGGGAGTCAGACACGTAGACTGTACTGATTACACCCACAGCTAATTGAGACAGATGAGCGTAGTTGTACTATCTGTACCGTCTGCATAGACTGTGATGTCCTTGGCAGTTGCACTAGCTACCGTGGGTGTACTCAGCATGCCGGCCTCGTGGATCTGCTGCGGGCGTTGTCAGATGGTTTGCAGCCAGCCGGTTGCGTAACCTTGTGCAGTACCGTGTGTAGAACTGCGTGCAGTCCAGCAGTTCTACAAAGTCTGTAGGGGTCAGAGACCCTACATAGGCAACAGCTGTCGCCCGGTTGTGTGGCCGTGCTGCTGGCCTCTTGGGCCAGTGAAGAAAGTGCCTCTGTGAGTGTCGACAGAGCACCAAATGTTCTGGGCTCTTGTTGTGTCCACAGACACAGGTGAGCCTCGCATCTGCATGCTGGAAACGCCTGTGGTACCAGGAGAAGTCCCCATGAGAGGAGCGGAGTGCGAGCCAGCGGTGAAGGGCATGCCGTGGCATGGTGAGCTCCGGAGGGGCCTTCACTTGGTATTCCACAGTCGGCCTGCTGAAACTCCAGCCCCGGTACCAGTCAGAGAGCTTGCCACAGGCTCCACTCCACCACTTTCGCCTTGCCTCTTGGCTGAGCTGCTTGGCCACTGTGCGGACCCCACTGACTGTGGGTGTGGCCTCGAGACCATAGGCTGGGGCTGCAGTGGATGAGACTGCCCGCTTAGCCAAGCGGTCTGCTTCCTCATTGCCCTCTATCCCCATATGCCCAGGAGCCCACTTCAGGCCGACATTGTGCTGTCTGAGGAGCTCATGGCAGCTGTTGTAGGCCCAGTTTGAGGAGGCTGCTGCACTGCCCCGTATGCCCCAGATGACTGATGTGTTGTCGATGCCAGAGCCAGATCTGAGAGTAGTAGCTGTCCTCTGTGGACACAAGGTAGGAGCTTCACGGCCGCACTCCAATTCCCCGGCAGGCACCAACTGCCTCAGCGTTGAAGACATGTGACATAGGGCTCAGCGCAGCTGAGAAGCTGGCCAGCTGTTTATTACCCCTGATAGACTATGAAGCCATAGCCCACCTGCCTGCTGATGTCAAGGTTCGGTTGTGATCCATCTGAGAAAACATATAGATCTGTTGAGGGTTGACTTCTCCACCATTCCTTGAATGCCTGAGCAGCACTCTTTTTGTCTACACCCTCTGTGGGGTCTGTCCCGCATCCCTCTGAGTAGTGTGGGATGGCAAGTGTGGGTCTATTGACTGCAGGTAGCAGCGCCCCAACCGCTGGATCTTGGTCTTTGAGCGCTGCCGGGTTCCAGCCCCTCTTCCTCGTGTGATCATTGGAGGTGCTATCCGTGAAGCCAGTGGGTGCTTCTCATCCACCACCTGAAGCCTTGTCGCGAATCGAATTTTGGCCTCCTCCAGAGCTACCATTGCTGATGGGAGCCCAGCATCCCGGTATAGGGTAGCGATGGGCGTTGTACGGAAAACTGGGAGGACCCCTCTGGCTGCCATAGTAAGCACCTTCTCAACTGTCCCCACATGCCATCCCAGGCGGGAGCTTAACCTCCCCACTCCTGCCCATGTGCCTTGCTGGCTGAGTGCGGCCGCCGTACCAGGCCTCTGTGCCATAGAGCAGTGAGGGAACCACGCAGGTGGTGACCGCCTTCCGCAGAGCGTCTGCTGGGGGCCCGTCTCTGGTCTTTCCCAGACTCCGGATGTGCTGGGCCACGGCCCTTGCCTTCTTTGCCCGGGTGGAGACATGTGGTCTCCAGGTGAGCCTTCTGTCGAAGTGTACACCCAGCCAGCGAAGTGCTGGCTCCTGTCCAGCTGGGGCAGTAACAGGGTGAACAGTGAGGGTCCTCAGACACAAACTACTGCTGGTGCCTCACTGTGTCGCTTTCTTGTAAGATGGATCATCTCAAGTTTCTCTGGTGCGAAGGCCACCTTGTTTATCTCCCCCCACCTCAGAATACTCTGTATATCCTGTCTGAGAAGGGTGGCATTGTTGTCAAGTGAGTGGGTCGCCCGCCAGATGTTCAGATCATCCGCATAGCCAAAGCGCAACTCCGAGTTTTGCCACAGCAGCTCTGCCAGGTACAGAAGGAACAGTATTGGTGACAAAGGAGACCCCTGTGGCGTGCCACATTGCATAAAAATGTAGTGAAAAAAACCACTGTTTACCATTGCTCATGCATTGATTAGATTATTTACAATGGCAGAGATTATGATTGCATTCACTTGCATTTTCTGCTTAAATCTTCAGCTTGCTTCTTGCTTCTTAAGCTCTCATCTGTGTTTTAAAGTGAGAGCTTTTTATTTCTCTGTCTTTGCTCATTCATAGATGTAGTTGCATTCACATGTGGTGGAGAAACTGAAATCATTGTATTGATGCACTGACTTGTAAAGTGCCTCAACCTATTTCAACAAATGTAAACTTTTTAGATGATTGTCACACCCTTGGTTGTGCCAAGGCCCCGTGACGGCTCCACACGGCCCATCGTTTCCCCTCGGATAATCCCATCTATCCCATGACATCACGCAGGTGTCCGAACCGGTTTCCAACCACCCTATGACATCATTCGGATGCAATAGAAGAGGATCCGATTGATCCGCTAAGGGAATCCTGTTTCTATACGGGGTCTGGATTCATTCTGGCAGATCAATGCAGCGCCACTGCGGAGTTGCTTTCGGGCTACCCTCGCTTATAGAGTGAGAGGAGGATGGCTGCCCGTTGTCTATATAGAATAGCTAGATGCTGGCTCTCTATTCCAGGAGCCAGCGATTCGTCTTTTATCTTTTGACAATAAGATACCAGAGTTACCACTGTCCTCATACAATATTCATAGTGTGCCGAGTACCTCTGGTAGTTCAGTATTTGTATAGTATTCTACGAGTTCGCGGTTCAAGCGAGATAATCAAGCCCACCCATAAGGCTTCCCATTATATACCATCCTCCTCTGTGCCGCTGCCGAGTAGCAACCGCCTCGGCGCCGTCACATTACAATTCGAATCGCTCGACCTGGTTACACGTTTGAATCAGTCGAGCTCTATTGATCGATATGGCCCCACGCACCCGTGCTGGGACTGCACCCTCTGGGGGAGCCTCCACGTCGTCCCCTAGAGCGCGTACACCTCTACCCCGGCAGGAATCTGAGATTCCTGAACCCGCCGCTCACCTTGGCATGGGCCCTCCAGCCGCCCTGCCACCGCCGCGGCCCCTACACTCCTATGTCTACCATGGAGATAAAGGGATCAAGGTTGGAGATCCGCCGAATTACAAGGGCAAGACGCTGTCTGAATTCCACAGTTTCACGACAGCCCTTGAACGGAAATTCCGCCTTACCTGAGCCAGTTTAATACCCATGAGGTACGAGTCATATACGCCGCGAGCCTCCTCGAAGGCACCCCTGCAACTACATGGGCGACCAAGGAAAGGGAGCTTGAGCGTAGCAATTCTGCCATGACATGGGAAGAATTCAAGAACTTCCTTCTGGACCAGATTGAAGACCACCGTAACCGCGCCTTCACAGCGGCGCAGCGGTTCAACTCACTACGTCAACGAGACGACGAGAATCCTTCCGATTTCAATGCAAGATTCGAAGAATATTGGGAGGAACTGTCTGACGATTTGAATCTATTGAAAACGCAGCTTTACCTCGCGAAGCTGACTCATAAGGTGCGGACGACGATATCGCAATATCAAAGTCCGCCCACCAATCGCACCGAGCTTGTCAACCTGGCTTCTCGAATCTATTTGAATAATCAACACCATGAGAAGAAGGGGGACAAGACTCCCTCAAAGCAACCGACAACAGGATCAAAACGGCGCCATGACGGCTCCGGTGCGGATGATGCAAAGAAGAACTCAAAGCGTTCCAGTTCTTCACTTACTGCAAAGGAACGCCAAAATAGACTGGATAACAACCTTTGTTTTAACTGCGGAATCTCAGGCCATTTTGCCAGTGATTGCCGTAAGTCGAAGAAGGGAAGGAACCGAGGAGATACCTCCTCGAAGACGACTCCCCTTCTGGCAAATGTATCCACTGAAGATAAAAAGGAAAGACCCAAGGAGGATTGACAATCCTCACGACTCCGAGTCCATGTAACCTTGAAGATGAATACCCCATGAGGGGAGGTGCCAGTGAGGTGCCTAGTCGACTCCGAGGCGGACGCTAACTTCATATCCTATTCCTTTTCACTCATGAAGGGTTGGAAAAAGATAGGTCCGCCGGGCCACGCAAAGTTTACAGATGGAACAAAATGCCACCGATTCGGCATCATTCAAACAAAGTGTGAGGCCACGGACTCTGAAGGAACCTCCAAGGGGAGCAGTCTGCTCCTCCACGCTGTCAACATCATAGATGAGGACGTCATCCTAGGTCTCCCGTGGTTGAGAGAAAACAATCCTCTCATCGACTGGGTCACTCAGGCGTGGCGGTACCGCCTCACCGACGAAGAGGCAGCTATAGAGGAACCCGAAGAGTTCCATCGGAAGAATCTCGAGGATAAGATTGAGTCGATATACTGTGTAGCAGGTGACTTGGACTTGGAGGCAGGCGGAGAAGCCGCCACCCTCACTGCCAGATTAGCAGTGATGTCTGCCACTGAAGGCGGACGAACGCAACGTCTCTTCACAGATTACAAGGACGTTTTTTCAGAAAAGGAAGCAGCGAAGTTTCCTGATACCAAAGTGCGACATAAGATCCATCTTGAAGAGGGCGCGACAGCGCCGTACGGACCCCTTTACAATTTGTCAGTAAAGGAATTGGACGTTCTGCGCAAATATCTTGAAGAAGCGCAGTCAAAGAACTGGATACGCCCATCGAAAAGTCCAGCGGGGGCACCTATACTATTCGTGCCCAAGAAGGACGGTAGGCTGCGCCTCTGCGTAGACTACAGGGGCCTCAATAAGGTGACGGTTAAGGATCGCTATCCACTACCATTAATTGATGAGATGATCGATCGATTATCCGGAGCAAGGGTGTTCTCGAAGATTGACATACGGGACGCCTATCATAGAATAAGGGTTAACGAAAACGACATTTGGAAGACAGCTTTTCGTACCAAGTACGGCAATTTTGAATATCTCGTTTTGCCTTTTGGTCTTTGCAACGCTCCGGCCACCTTCCAGGCCTACATAAATGAGGCACTGCGGGGCCTTGTCGATGTCTCCTGCATAGTATACTTGGACGACATCCTAATCTTCTCGAAAACGGAAAAAGAACATGATTCCCACGTTCGGGAGGTGTTGGATCGCTTGAGGCAACACCAGCTCTATGCAAACACTGAGAAATGCTCGTTCTACACACAGGAGATTGATTTCTTAGGTTATATTGTTGGGGTTGATGGCATTTCAATGGACAGGAGCCGGGTCTCCGCCATTGAGGACTGGCCGGCGCCGCGCACGTACCGCGAGGTGCAGGTATTCCTAGGATTTGCGAATTTCTATAGACGGTTCATCTATGCGTATTCGCGGATTGCTGCCCCCCTTACAGATTTGTTAAAGGGAAGTGTTAAAGGCAGGAAAACGGGACCGTTTATCCTTACCCAAGACGCTGTGAGGGCGTTTGAAGAATTGAAGCAAGCTTTTGCAGATGCCACGATGTTAAATCACTTCGACCCCGGCCTACCCAGTCAGTGTGAAACTGATGCATCTGGGAATGGTGTCTGCGGAATCTTTTCGCAGTTGACACCGGAGGCTTTCCAACGTTGGAAGGATCGGGGGTTAATAACCTCTGGAGATACAGGCAATGGAATGCCTGTAGGAGAAGGCTTTTTCACAGAACCTACAAGGCGCCGTGAATGGAGACCAGTGGCCTTCTTCTCCAAGAAGCTATCGCTCACGCAAAGAAGGTATGATACTCATGATCAAGAGATGTTGGCAATAGTTGAATCCTTTAAGATTTGGCGACACTACCTTCAAGGTTGCAAGTATCCGGTGCAAGTTCTCACCGACCATGCAAATTTGCGTTACTTCTTGACAACAAAGAGCTTGACAGGACGTCAAGCCAGGTGGGCGGAGCTGCTTTCGGAGTATGATTTCTTTATCCGATACCGTCCAGGTCGGCTTAACCCCGCCGATGCGCCATCAAGGCGACCCGATTATGATATCATTGATGGGGATGAGGATCCTACAAAGGGACCTCTACCATCACTGCAGAAGAAACTGGCTGCAAGGGGTTGGGGTTCTCTAAAGCTTGGGAGAGAGGCGCCGGTAAGGCAGCTGCGCGACCCTATACAGGTGGAGGAGAACTCGGGTC